TCCTTGCCAACTCCTCTACATCCTTCACGGACACCTCCCTCTCTCCGTCCTTCTCGGACTCCATCTTCGCACCGTCCTTCTCGGACCTTACGTCAAAGGTTTTTTTGCTACAATCCATTTTTGTTCCCACGAGTGTGGGGGAAAGGTTGCACAGCCGGCGTTGCCCCCTGCTACCGACTGCGGCCTAATACGCTTTGGGTGCGGCTGGTGCCCAAAGGTTGGTGCCCTTGCGGCCGGAGTTACTCCTCCGACCCGGCCGCCCCGAAGAACACGCTAACTGAAATGAATTCCAGCAGCGTGCTCCGCGTGACGACCTGTCCCTCGCCAGGCACCGAGCTTAAACAAGAGGTTTTTTATAGAGGTTGACTCCTCGCGGCCCCGGGCAATTAAGCCAAGAGCCCCGCTCCCACACTGGGCCGATAGACGTGATCACCGACACCCAGTGCAGGTTTACGGTTTGAAGCCAGTTGCACCGAAGTGCTGTCCGGCTGCGCAGTTAAGCACCCACCGGACCTGACTTGCCAGTAGGCAAAGAAGAAAAACGAAAAGAAAACAGAAAGAGAGTAAAGAAAAAGACAAAGAAAAGAAAAGACGAAGACAGAAAAGTAGAAGAGAAAGATTTGCCTACTCCTACTCGCCGGACTATCGGCCGACATAGTAGCAGTATCCCGAAGGAACGTCTACTATCCCGCCCAGGGCGTACCAGAACCAAACCATTGCTCGGCCACCGTTCCCCGCGGACGTATCCACGAGGATGGGGAAGCCTCCCAATGGCAGGCCCATACTTGGAGGTTGCCCGACACACGCCCCACGCCCCAACCTAACCTAACCTAACCTAACCTAACCTAACCTTTTTTTTTTTTTTTTTTTTTTTTACAAGGGGAAATCCGTCATGGAGACCCGCACGCCCCGGGGGAAGCGTGTGGGTACTGCCGGACTCCTACCGGCTAAAACCCCTTGGTGTCCTCCGCTCGCTGCTAGCGCCAGGGTCACGGGATCGACGTAGCAGTCCACCGCGACCCCGGCAGCGCAGGCTCTGCAGCCTCCTCCTTGAGTGGCGCGCGCGGACACCACGCGCGCCTACTCCCAGCCTCACCCTCCTTAGGTGACGGCAGACGCCCCCGCATCTGCCGCCGAGAGGCTCTGGGTCGGTGGTGACGGGCCGGACTCGGCCTCCATCGCCTCCGTCTCCGCCGCCCGCGCCTGTGCGCGGCTTCCTCGCGAGCTGCAGTTCTTACCGCTGCCCACGGCATGACTCGCCGGACGTCCCGCCGCTGCGCAATAAACACAATGCGGCGGGGCAGTGCACTTCGCAGCCTTGTGGCCCTCTCCGCCGCAACGGAAGCAGGCCTGACTGCGGTCAACCGCCGATTTGCACTGCGTGCCCACATGCCCTTGCAGTAGGCAGCGGTAACAACGCATGGGTTTCGGATCTAGCACTGTTACGTGCGCCGAAACCCATCCCACTTTTACGCGGCCCTCCCCCTGGAGCTTTTTAGCGGCCACCATTGGGCAGCGAACCCACACAGCCGCACTGCCAGACTCCGATCGGCGAACTTCCCCGCCTTCACTTCCTGCTCCGCGCAGTCTCCACTACGAGCCACGGCGGCGACGACATCCGCCGACGTGGTCGTGTCGTCCAGGCCCACAATCCTAAGGTCGGCCGTCTTTACCGGACGAGAGACCTGGACCACCTCCGCGGGCAGGACCTCCCTGAGCTTTTCAGCGAGGGAGTCCGCCTTATCACCACTAGCGGCGCCTGGCAGCTCCAGGATTCGCGCGCCAGTGATGGCCTGCCTGTACCGAAGCTCCGTTATCCCGATGGTCTCCAGGGACACCTTTTCCTTCGCCTCCATGAGTAGGGCCGCGTAAGTAACGCCCTTTTCGGCAGCTCCGGGCTGCAGCGATAAAACCACCGCGGCAGAGCGGGGCGGCCTCAGTCTGGGCTTCCTCTTCTGTTTACCCGCGGTCGCTGCCTTTTGGGGCGGCGATTTAGTCTCCGCGGGTTTCTTCGCCGCCTTTTTGCCCTGGCTCATCGCGCCACGACGAGCCACGGTCACCCAGCTCTCCGTCATTGCTCGGGGAGCAGGCGCCGGCTCCTGTACTCCAATAGGAGCAGCCTGACTAACAGCTGCCGGTGCAATAGCAGCCGGTGCAGGAGCCGTCGCCTTTCCTCTACCCTTGCCTTTCGGCCCAGCCGAACCGCTCGCCCGCACAGCAGGCGCAGTTGGCGTAGGCCTCACTTCCGGGACCGGAGGGAGCCGCTCCTCGATTCTCGCGAGGCGATTGTCGAGGCGGCTCTCTAACCTCCGGGCTATGCGGTCCTCCAACTGCTCTAGGGTCCTGGCCCCAACCGCTAGTTCTCCGGCATGCGCAGGGCCTCCGGCAGCGGAAGTCGATGGCCCAACAGCCGCCTGCGCCTGCGCATCTCGAAGTGCAGCCCGGAGTTCGAGGATCTCCTGGCTCACCTTCTGATTTTCAGCCCTTTGGCCGGCAACCTGCCCCTCGAGACTGGCGACCTTTGCCGCTAGGACGGAGTTCTCTTTTGCAACCGACCTATTCTTGAGGATGTCGGCTGCATCTCTAATGGCATCCACAGCATCTCTGATGTCGCGGATGGTGGTGCCCTTGAGATTCCCGCATTTCTTTATCGTGACGTTCACGATATCCGCACACGCCTCTATTTTGCTTCGGAGCGCATCCGCCGTCCACTGGAGCTTCATAGGGTCTCCACCCCAAGTGGCACGAATGACTCCGAGCCTTTGCTCGAAGTTTCTCTGGCCCTCAAGCACTGCCGCCTTCATGGCCTCAATGCGGTCCTCCTTTACCCTGGCCCGAGTTCCTTCACCTTCCGAGTCCGAATGCGAGCGCTGCCGCTGGCGCTTTCGCCTTGTGCGCTTCCTCTCCGTATCAGTATTCCCGTCGTCGCTTCCTGTAAAGAGGGAAGTCGACGACCCTGTCACGTCCGATAGATCCTCCTCCATGAGGATATCATACCTCCCAGTGCTGAGGACGTTTTCTAATTCTCCTCTCTCTAGGCTTACCCTCAGCTCCTTCTCAATCCCAATGTCTCCCCTATTTACAACTCTCTCTCTCTCCTCTAACACCCGGCTCATCCCTGGTCTCCCTCCTCTCTCCCTTCTTCCCACCCTTCTGACCTTTCTTGTCCCCCCCAGAATACGTGGGACTGACCGCCCCCGGCTTACCCGGTGCGACGGCAGAGGATTCTCCACCCGATGAACGGGTGGTACCTCCCTGGGGTATTACTTTTTTAAGATCGGCCATGTCATCATTTTTCCTTTTTTACCCGGGTCTGGTCCCGCATACAAAATAGAAGAAAGAAAACGAAAAAACAAAACAAAATTATAGAAAAGAACAAAGAATAGAAAAGAATAGACAAATATAGAACAAAAACAAACAAACTAAAACCAAGACAAACAAAAGAAGACATAACAAGAAGAATTTACAAATAAATAACTAACCTAACTATTTACACTATTTACAGATTTGGACGAGCGCCGAATACGACACCCGCCCCCTAACCTACTCGCCGGACTATCGGCCGACATAGTAGCAGTATCCCGAAGGAACGTCTACTATCCCGCCCAGGGCGTACCAGAACCAAACCATTGCTCGGCCACCGTTCCCCGCGGACGTATCCACGAGGATGGGGAAGCCTCCCAATGGCAGGCCCATACTTGGAGGTTGCCCGACACACGCCCCAACCTTTTTTTTTTTTTTTTTTTTTTTTTTTTTTTTTTTTTTTTTTTTTGACTTGGAGAAAATCCCTCATGGAGACCCGCCGGCCCCGGGGGAAGCCCGCGGGTACTGTGAGACTCCTACTCACTAAAAACTCCAAGATGTCCCTCACCCAACGCCATATGCCGGAGTCGCGGGATCAAATTATACTCTACCGCAACTCCGACGGCGGTGGCCCACTCTACAGCGGGCCCCATCTCTGCGGGTTCCCTACCGGAACCCACCACGTCCCGCTTCTCCCCTGGGGAAGGCGCGCGGGGACATGCGCGCGACTTCATCGGGCCTAGTGTGATGGGGTGGGACCGCCCCCGCGGTCGTCACCCCGGCCCGGTAGCGATCTAGGGGCGGCTTGGGCCGCCCCTGCCTGCTTGATCGCTGGGAGGGGAGGTGTCCATCCCCTCCTCTGCACCACTCCTACGGCCTGGGACCTGTGAGGCGGGCCGTTTCCCTCCCTTCCTTTTGGGCGGGGTGCACTTCTTGCTCCCCACCCAATGGTCTGCCGGCCGCCCCTGGGACGCACATACTGCGCATCTGGGGGCTGCGGCGCACGCTGCGACTTTGTGGCCCGCCTCTCCGCATCGGTAACAAAGCCCGCTGCGGTCTTCCTCCTGTGTGCATTGCCCCCTGACATGCCCACTTTGTAGGCATCGGAAGCACCGCAGCGGACGTTGCCGCAGCAGCTCCACCTTCGCGGACACCCATCCTAGCCGCATGTGACCCTCCGCCGTGACCTTTTTTACGGCCGCCATAGGGCCGCGGACCCAGCAAGACCCCAAGGCTTTGGGGCTGCTCCTTCTGATGGGCCCGACCTTGACGTCCCCGGCCACGCACTCGCCATCACGCGCAACGGCGGCGGCGACATCCTCCGGCGTAAGTGAGTCATCCAGGCCCATGACCCGCATTTCGGCGGTTTTTGAGGGCCTGGAGACCTTCGCCACATCCTCCGGGATAAGGGCCCGGAGTTTAGACGCGAGGGCGTCAGCCTTTTCCGCGCTAGAGGCGCCGGAGATCTCCAGAATCCGCCCCCGGTTATTGCAGGCCGAAGCCGCATATCCTCTATGCCGAGGGGGCGGAGGTCGATCCTCTCCTTTGCCTCCGTCAGGATGTTGGCGTAGGTGACGCCCTCCTTTTCCGCCGCTTCCCCGATGGTTATGACCACCGCCGCTGAGCGGGGCAGTCGCAACTTCGAGGGGAGCGGCGGGGTCGGCTTCTTCTTGGGCGCCGGCTTCGCCTTCTCCTTTGCCGCCTGTGTGGCGGTGACCGTCTTCTGGCTTTCGGGGACCACAGTCAGTTTGCCCCGGTTTCCCCTCACTACCGTTGCCCACGAGGAGCAACCCGCCTCCGGTTGTGTTGATGGGGTAGCCGGAGGATTAACCGTCGGTGGTTGTCCCCTTGCGCAGCCTTGGGCGCTTTCTTCCCCTTGCCCTTGCCTTTCTTGGCCTGGGGAGCAGAACCCCGACCGCCCTCGTTCTGTGCGGCAGGCTGGGAAGCCACCTCGGCGGATGGTTGGTGCCGGGGGTTGGGCCGTTGTTGTGGCCTGGACTTCTTCTGATGGGGAGGACTTGGCAATCATGGTCTTCACCTGCTCCATGAAGTTCCCCATCATAGACCCCATCATGGACCGAACGGTCCCTCCAACGTCCCGCATTATCTGCGCCCTGAAGGAACCCAAATTGGTTCCACGTTCCGCCTCCTGGGATGGAGCAGCCGGCGCAGCCGCTTTCGCAGCGCGGAGCTCGGCGACCTCCCTGCGCAGATCCTCCACTTGTTTCTCCAGCCGGAGATTCCTTACCAAGAGGGGCGAGACCGAAGTTGGGAATAGATCACCCTCAAGGGTGGCCACCTCCTTCGTTATTCCCTCCAGTCTGTCCTTCAGGGCCTTGATGAAGGTGCCCTTGAGGTTCGCTGACCTCCGGATGATGTCCTCCATGTCCTCCGTATGTTCCAGGACGGCCAACCTAACCCTCCGGACCGCCTCCCCGGCTGCCGAGGTAGGAGGGTCCAGTAGGGCGACATCTTTCCTCCTTGCCGCCGTCTTCGGGGGGCCGGCTTTTGTTTTGCCACCTGATGTTTTGCCCCCTTCGTAGAATTCGTATCTGAATTCGTCCAATCCGGTCTTTTTTGCGGGCACCTTCAGCTTCGTGCCGGTATTCCGGCTCTTAGCGTTGGACGTTCTACCGCTTGTCTCTGCCTCTGAAAGGCGTCTCTTACGCCCAGAGGGCGCAGGCTCTTCAAACTCCATCTCTTCCAGGTCTCTCAGGGTTGTGCATGAGCTCGACCGCGAAGACCCGCAGTCGATCCCCTGAACAACTCTGGATCGTGTCCTCCTCGGAATTGTGTCTCCATCGACACTGGAGACCTCCGACATCGACCAGTACTCCAGGTCCGCCGCACTAACCTGGCGACTGGTACCGGCCGTTGGGAGGCTCTCTGTACTCCACGACATATCCCCTGATTTTCTGGGTTCTCCGCGTTCCAGTATCACAGAGCATCTCCTAAGGAGAGCATCTGGTCTCACCACCTTCTTTCCACCGTCCTTCTCGGACCCCTTCTGAACTCCGTCCTTCGCGGACACTGCCATCTCACCGTCCTTCACGGACCCAACATCGGAGTTTTTTGTTTTTTGTACATCCATATTTGTTCCCACGAGTATGGGGGAAAGGTTGCACAGCCGGCGTTCACACACGCCCCAACCTAACCTAACCTAACCTAACCTAACCGGAGGTTATTGATGTCTTCCATCAGCTATGTTAGACGGTCAGAATGAAATTATATCGCGTTCTACATTTAACGCAGCGCCATCTAGTGAATAGTTGAGGAGGTTTGTTTGGTATAGTGTTGTTCAGCGCGCCATCTACCGTTAGATTAAGATGGAATGCTTGTCGTGCTTGGCAAGATATTTATTGAGTATTAATTAATTAATTGCGCTACTACTCGACAGGTGGCGTTATAGTGGTTGGTTACGAGTACGATGCCATGCGATAATGACGAATGCCAATTGTCAATACCAATTTTTTTTTTTAAGAGAGGTCTGGCTTTCTCGTAAGACAGTTCTTTCTCCAAATCCTGAAGTGGCGATATCTAGAATCGAACCATTGCATAAAACCAATTATGACACATGGTGTCTCCAAGCACAAGCAGTGCTTATAACAGCCCACTTATGGGAATCTGCTAGTGTGGCTAATTTTATTAGTGTAACAGCAGATATTGCTAAAGCATTCCTACAAATATCAATATATCAATAGTTCCGGACGATCGCGATTATCTACGATTCCTGTGGTGGTCTCATCCAAGTAATATGGATAAAACTATCGTCACTTATCGGCACAGACGAGTTGTTTTTGGAGTAGCCTCAAGCCCATTTCATTTGATTGCGACTATAAATCATCATTTAGATCATTGTCATGATCACCTGAAACAAACAACAGAACAACTGAAAAATTCATTTTATGTGGATAATTGTGTGACCAGTTTAATTGACTTACGAAGAGTATGAAAATGCTGAAAGAAAATTAATAAGAATAATTCAGAGTAGGTATAAAGATAATATAAATATGAAAAACAAAAAAAAAAAAAAAAAAAAAAAAAAAAAAAAAAAAAAAAAAAAAAAAAAAAAAAAAAAAAAAAAAAAAAAAACTATATACAGCGACGACAGTACCAATTTTAGAGGACTAGATAATTCATTCAATATTCTTGACTGGAATGAAATATTGCAGTTTTCTACCATAACAAGGATAAAATGGAAGTTCTTACCTCCCAACGCATCTTGGTGGGGAGGGTTTTACGAGCGGTTTATTGGCACGTTGAAACAAATTCTTCGAAGAGTGTTAGGTAGAGCATCGCTTTCATTCGTCGAGTTGCAAACAATACTTTGCGATTGTGAAGCTACTATTAACAATAGACCTCTGACTTACATAAGCAACAGTCAAGATGAACTTCGAGCATTAACTCCATCTATGTTTATACAACCGCAGGCACAGTGTGAAGTAAGAGATTTAGATGAAATTGATAGCAAGTCATTGAATGTAAGACCAAAACACTGTCAAAATATAAGAGACGCTTTCAGACAGCGGTTCAGAAAAGAATATATCAGTACGTTAATTCAACCTCGTAACAAGAAGTACGCTCAGCTACAGTGTGGTGATGTGGTGCTAATAGAGACAGAGGATAACAGACAGATTAATTGGCCGTTAGGTATAGTGGAGGAACTTTATGACGGTACAGATCAATTCTCTAGAGTTGCCAAAGTTCGTACAGCTACTGGACATAGAGTAAGGCCTGTTCAACGACTATTCCCATTAGAAATACGACACAACGTTACCAATAATCATGATAGTGATACATCTAACGGGACAATGACTGAACAAGACATGACAGAAGAAGTCCATGACAACACAGACTCTACGACCCCAGTATTACGTTCACGTAGTGGTCGCGAATTAAGACCACCACGATATCTTAACGACTTCACATGTTAATTATTATAACAACATGTACAGTTTATCATTTTAATATATTTTAATATTTAATCTGCTGCTGCTTTCTCTTATTTCCAAAAATAATATTGGCTGGAAAGGTTTTAGACTTTTTATATGTATAAAACATTGATTCAAATATTATATAATTCAATTTTTCTTTCCTAAAACATTATTTGTAGTTATATTTGCAATAGTTCTGGCCATCGTAGAAACACTTTTATAGAATATGTCACTTTGAATACTGAATTTTTGTAATGTCAACATGTACAGTTTATCATTTTAATATATTTTAATATTTAATCTGCTGCTGCTTTCTCTTATTTCCAAAAATAATATTGGCTGGAAAGGTTTTAGACTTTTTATATGTATATTGACATTGATTCAAAATATTATTAATTCATTGCTTTCCATCTTTCTAACACGTTCTATATAACTTTGTAACAAGAATGTTCTAACAAATAATTTAAAATTAAGATAGTAATTACTTACTGCATGAAGATCTTTGGGAGACAATAGTAGGGTATCCCGAAGGTGTGGTTGTACCAGAAGCGACAAGAATCCGTCAAGATCGGTAAGCCTTGTCAAAAATTAATTTGACGTTAGACGGTCCAGCCATAACTCATGTACGGAACTGTAAAACCGCCAAAGATGCTTGGAATAAGTTGAAAAAGGCATATGAAAACCGCAGTATGGGTCATAGAATAACTTTAGAGAGAAAACTATATAAATTCAATCTCGAACAATTTTCTGGCATAGAGAGCATAAATGATAATGAGCACCGAAAAGATATAGGAAAAGTCATAGGATGCTTCCGTTGCGGCAATTCTGTTAGGCGGCCTTACATCAAAGTATGAACCACTTATCATGGGACTAGAGAATAGCAACATTGAAATTACCTCTGATTTGATCAAAACTAAACTTTTAAATGAGTTACCTCGCGATATGGAGCCTGTATCGGCATTAAAGACAAGGACCCGTCCAGATAAATATAAGACGCAGAAGAAGCAAATTGTATGTTACGATAGCAAGGAGCCAGGACATAAACGAATCTTCCGTATCGAGCGCTCACGCTCTTGGAGCAAATGATGGCTTACAAATGAACTTACAAATGAACAGACGTGGGTAATTGACATACAGAAATATACGTTTTTATATATGTAATAAAACCATACAACTATTGAAACAAGTTTATTACATTTATACATACTCGTTATTTAATCTTCCTCCTCCTGTTGAGAACATAACATAAATAATAGCGGTAACAATATAGACGCTAAAAGCTCTTGAGTAGTATATTCTTTGCCAAAGAGTAAAGTAAATATACCAAAAGGAAAATAGTAGGTACTTATAGGTACTGTGTATCTGTACAAAGCACACTACACACTACACGGATATTACACACTGGAAGGGATCAGCCGAGTAGGTACCTACACGACACAACACCAACAGTTTAACACTATTATTTAATAAGTTATTGAACACGTATGACACACACTTTTTCTGTTTTTTTTTAGTGACAATAATCAAAGAGGTTAGTCCTAGTAATTAATCTCGTCATAGATTTTATATTAGTGCTACTTAACCTTAAAAGGTATGGTGTTTACATAGTTGTAAGACGCTATAGTAAATAAGTTCTCAATTATATGTATGTATGAAAGAATATCTCTACCATGAAAGTGTATTAAAAAAAAAGAAATTGAAAAATTTACAGATGATAATATTTTTTTGTAGAGAACAATTTATAATTCCTAGTTCTGACAACATTATCTTTTTATAGTATTATACATATATAAAACCTTAAAAAAAACTTCTAGTATTATTATTTTTTCTTTTTCCTGAGTTGAATCTGTGTTCCGAATTATAAAAAAAATAAAAAAGAAACAAAAAAATTTATATATATCTATTCAAAACTGCTTAAGTTTATTTCATTAAGATTATTTCTATTTCTGTTCCCGTTCCTATGTATTTCTATTTATTGAGGACAGGAGTACAGCGTGCACAAATATACTTATTTTTCACTTATTAACTATTTCACTTTCTTTAAAATCGTGACAAGTTAGTGTTCTCAAAAGTGAAATAATTTAGGTAACACACCACAAATGAAGGAACAATATTTTTTCAGTGATTACATTACCCTATAACTGCATTAATTAATATTTTAATTCTAAAATTGTGTATATTGGGGAATGTAATGTTAGTTATCTTAGCGTTGTTTGGTCCGTACTAGAATATTGTTTGACAGTTAAATGTTTTAAGGTTGGCAACCCTGTGGTGGTGTCTAATCTGTAATTTAAATTATTTTAAATATGGCCATACTGCCACAGCTTCTTTTTATTTTTTAAAGCAATAGAGCTACTTAAGATAAAATATTTCTTTTAATAATATAATTTACTTTAAGAAATAGAATAGATATTATTTCTATAATGATTGTCCTGTCCTAATTTATGTGATCTAATAAAATTGCGTTCCTACCAAACTCTTCCTTGTCGTTTCCCAAACTTGTCATTGTCGAAAACACTTGTTGCCAAACCGTAATAATTATAAAAAATAATACCATGTTGTTTTTCCGTTGGTTTCTTATGTGTTTCGTTTTCACTGATAATATAATTGTGTATCTTAATAGATTTGTAGTAAATTGAGAAGTTAATTATAGATATGGGTATAAAATTTTTGGTGTACGCGTGCGGGCGATGGCGGGAAGTACGCCTCGACGGTCGCGTATGCGGTTGGGGCGGCCGGCCACGGTTCATGCGCATGAAACGCGGCAAATTGTGTTTAGTGAGCCAGGCGGCGGTGCTGCGCGGGCTGCGGGCGCTGGCGGCAGGCCAGCCCACCACAATCACGGACGGACCGCCTCTACCACACCTCAGGTACTACACAATCTGCTGTTTTCGTTACCCGCCATTCTGTCATGTTTATACACCAATACAGGTTAATTGCATACATATATATATAGTAAATAAACATGTCTAAAAATACCATTTATTCTTTTACTCAAAACGGGTCATTGGTTTATTTATGCCAATTAATAGACAGGCAATGAAAAAAACAATTTGTTAATTTATTCAGAAAAACTTAGCTTAAAATTGAAATATTAGTGGATGAATTGAAATTTGCTTTAATATAGCTAGTGAAGCCTTCAAGGAAGATGGAAAACAAAATCATATAAAAAAAAAAATTTGAATGTGCTAAATGAATAAATGACTGTTTAATTTTAAATTTTTTAAATTTTGACTGATACTTTCAGCATGTTTTTTTATATTCACCTTAATTATTAACTATAATCAACATCACAACCTGCCCCGACTACACAAATTTTCGCAGAGTTTCCGAGAACGGACATTTTGCATTCCAGATTTCATTTTGAGGACACCGAGACTCATAATTCTAAAAATGAACAGTCTCATTTGATTTTGGACGTCTGGTCGTGTTTAACATGTCTTGTGTTCATGTTTGTACGTACTGGTTACATGTTTGTAAAATTAGTAGTTCAAGTTACAAATCATTTAACATAACACCACAAAATGAACTTAACTTTAGTATTTGGATCAAATTACACACCGTGTGCAAATTACTGCTGTAAATTTGTAATGTAATGTTAACAGTAAATAAAGGCTTTTATTATTATTATTATTATACACACAGTGTGCAAATTATATTTGCAATCAGTTCAGTAGTTTAGGACTCCATCGCAGACAAACAACGTGACACATGATTATATATATTAAGATATTTCTCTGGAAATGAGATATGTGCTTAACATATAAAAAATGTATTTTTTATTATAAATTTGTATTTAAGTTTATAATTCTTTTATAATACATTCTTGACTTGTCTTCAGTTCTGTTGTCAATAGTGTATCACATATATATTCTTATATGTGATACACTATTGACATCATATATATACATATATATTAGAGTCTTTTTCTATAGTTTTCATTTTAAATTCCACACAAAGTCGCGAATGGAGCTAGTATAAAATAAAGCGACAACATGTACACCACTGAGGTTATAAAATAAACTTATACTTTTTGCAGACATGATCCTCACGCCAAGGAGCCGCCCAGCCCCAAGCGTGAGCATGTGCATGGATGCTGCCATGCTGCCCAGTGCTGCCGGGGCACAAATGCACACAAGTAAGTACATCATATTTTGTTTAAATTGTCTTTGCAAGCCTAAAGGGTGAGTATTCATCATTAAGGGTTGTCCATCCCTAATATTTTATTTTTTTATAATGCGGCATTAAAAATATATACAACCTAATGTAAGTTACATTGAAGCACTTTTTTTTTTTGGTCATCACATTTTGTTTTTTCAATCTAACACTCATTCAAAAGCTGTCTCATTATAAGAAGAATGAGCAAGAGACTTGTGTGTTGCTCTTTTAAATAATTTAATTTTAAGTAATAAAAGTGTGTGATATATTCACCTATGAGCACTGATTCAATTAAATACTCAAATAGAGAAAATCTAAATATACACTAATATATACACTGGACAAATCGGGCTGAAATTTGGCATGCAGGTAGATGTTATGATGTAGGCATCCGCTAAGAAAGGTTTGAATTAATTCTACCGCCAAGAGGATAAAATAGGGGATGAAAGTACGTATCAAATTTTGTCAATTTTGAAACGATCGGACTAAGACTTTGCATGTATAAAGGAATTTGATAAATCCACCCCTAAGGCGATATTAACGCGAACGAAACCGCGGGCAAAAGCTGGTATTAAATATACAACCAACTGGCTGAAATAAATGGATAGTTACTTGAGTAATAAAATAAATCGGCCATAATGTATCTACTATACACGTAAATACAACGGTTTCTAGATGAGTTTGAAATCATATTACCACCCTAAGTCAGAGCAGCACACTCTGTTTTTTAGTGGATTATAAATGAATGGTGCACCCGCCTGCGCTAACGGTATACGCTGGCAGCACCAGTGGAGGATGATAAGATGAGCATGAGGTCAGGTCAGTATAATCAGTACAATTAGCACATTGTGACAAATTCATCAGAAATTTATCACGATGGTTTCCAAGGGAACTGCGTGGAGGTGAACCTGACATGGTACATCTAGCAATGGGGTTATCAATCCACATTACTAACAATCACCTGTCCCCTCCAGCACAGTGTGTTGTGGCATATTGAGCGGAGCGGGGCAATGATGGTTACTGGTGGTGTGTTGTGTTGTTGACAATGGGAGTGATGACAGACAGCCGCCGTCGGTGCGGGAGGTCAGCTCGGCGACCACGCAGCCCGCCAGCGTCGAACCCGCTACCACCGAAACCAGCACCAAGCCTGCCAGTACTGAGCCAGCGGCGCCCCTCGCGGTCTCTTCTGGAAACAATATAGACTCCACACCACACCTAGCCAAAGGTAGGTTCAAGCTATATTATACATAAAATTGTCATTATGTAGAATTAATGTTTATTTACATTGTGCTACTAAGAACCTAAAATTAAAAAGCTTAAAAAATATAATATAGTAACTAAAATATATTATTAAAAAAAGTCCCTTTAGGCAAAGTTCCGAAGATACTGGCAGCGTTCCCTCTTTGAATGGCTAGACTAATTCTTTGTCCGAGGTAGCTGCCAGCTCAGTATGCTTGATTGAAAATTGAAAAAATAAAAACAGATTAAATTGTGCACTTATATAGGTGTGTACATATAATAACATCTATATATAAATAAAAGTGGAGTCTGTTTGTAATATTGAAATAACCGTTTTTTACTGCATGCATATGATTATAAATACGGTACATACACCAAAATAACATTTTATTAAATTTTTGTCTGTCTGCCTGTCGGTCTGTTTGTTCCGGCTAATCTCTGAAATGGTTGGACCGATTTTGGTCGGCCTGTAGCTGCTGTAATAAGGAGTAACTTAGGTTACTTTTATTTTAGAAATATTATTTTATTTTAGAAAAATAAAGTTAAATTCCACGCGAACGAACGTGGACGTCGCGTGTACAGCTAGTAGTAAGTAGTAAATAAAACAAGTCTATATATAAATTTTGCTTCAAAAAGATTTACACAGGATGTACTTAAGTATTGTTAAGTATAAGAACTTAATTATTTAATACGATGTTCAGTTGTGTACTTTTTAAACTTTCTTTAACATTTAATCTTCAGTACGAACTACTTTTGCCCACTAGCTACCTGCGACTTTGTCTGCATATAAACGTTTTTATAATATAACTTCTAAACTAAAAATATCCTAAGTTACTCCATATAACATTAGCTTTCTGCAGAAACTCCACAAAGTTCACATTATATTGTAGGTCGTTCAACAGTTTAATTTCTATTTACAGAGCAATTTTAATTATTGTTTATAGATACAGTGACAACAAGTGATAAACAGACAGAAACTACAAAAAGTCGCGGCGCGAACAAATCAGAAAACACTAAAACCGCGTCCCCTCAAAAGAAATCATCTGGTAACCGTGGCCGCAAGCGTCGGCGGTCGACGTCGAGCTCGTCGACCGCGGGGGGCGGCCTCGAGGAGGTCGTGCGCAGGAGACAGCCCAAGAGGAAAGTGGTGGTCGCCAGCAGCGACTCGGAGCCGACGCCGCCACCCTACACCACGCAGGACGTGAGTCAACTAACAACATTGTTATAGAATAGAATAGAAAATCATTTATTCAAATAAACTTACATTGAAGCACTTTTGAATAGTCATCACATTTTTTTTAATCTACCGCTCATTCGGAAAGCTGTCTCATCACAAGAAGAACGAGCGAGAAACTTGTGTGTTGCTCTTTTAAATAATTTTATTGTTACTTTACATTTTTAAGTTGAAGTGTGTGAATACAAACCTCCAATTAGCACTAATACAATTAAATACTCAAATACAGAAAAATTCATTATTAAATATACAACCAACTGGTTGAGCAACTAAATAATAGTAAATCAGTCGTAGTGATAGGAGCAGACTGTCCCTACAAGCAGCACTCGTTCACGAGTATGACAGATGAGCCAGCCATCACTGCGCTCGACCATATTTATTAAAGTAGTAATATTGAAGTAATCGTTTTTTACTACATGCATATGAATATAAATATGGTACAATACGTAACCTACCTAATACGTACCTAAATAACATTTTTAAAATTTTTGTCTGTCTGTCTGTCTGTTTGTTCCGGCTAATCTCTGAAATGGCTGAACCAATTTTGACGGGACTTTTTTGGCAGGTAGCTGATGTAATAAGAAGCTAAGTTATTTCTTATTATTTTATACCCAATAAATAATACTTCTTATTACATCAGCTACGTTAGAAAAATAAGCTTAAGTTCCACGCGGACGAAGTCGCGGGTAAAGCTAGTTATTAATGTTTGCTCTGTGTTATTATGTATTAATATCTGTTGTCTATGGTTTGTTGCGGGTGTGCAGTCTAGTGCGGAGGGTGGGGACGCCTCCTACAAGGAGGTGACCATCGACCTGGAGGACCTGCAAATGTTGCGCGACTTCCTGGAACGCGACAACGTGTGGGGCGTCGACCTCCACGAGTACGACACCAGCGAAAACTACAAGGTGACAAACTCACGCACGTACACGTCCACGTGCACACGCACGTGGACATTGTCAACTATATCCGGACCAAAAGTAACCTGGCAGTAAGGGGGACGCTGGAGTCGAGTCACAACGCGAGTTTCAAGTCGTTCGTGGCCCGGGTCCCACCAACACGCTGCCCACCTCCATGGAGGAGGACTACTGGCCGAAGGGTGTCTGTCGGCGGTGCGAATCGGCGCTACCGTGGCAGATCGCCGTCGTCAGCGCCGTGACCACACGGACAATATCAGTATATTAGTTTTAAAATATCAATTCCGATGTATGTAAGTCTGTAAGGTATTTATAATAAGGACCATTAGTAGCCTGAATTAAATAAATATAATATTTCAGATGAAAGTGCTGTTCAACATCACTCCGCTGGTGATGGTGGCGCGGTGTCCCCGCATAGCGGAGATGTTGCGGCGTGGGGCGCCCCGCCTGGACTCGTTCGCGGCCCGGCTGGGGCTGCAGCGCCGTCGCGGGGACTCCGACGGGGACAAGGAGAACCGGCTCGCGACCCGGGGACGCGGTCAGTTAAGTAGAAACGGAAGCAGCAGAACTGCCGCCAAACATACCGATGACGAAGGTGACGTTCAAGATAAAATAAAGAATAGATTGAGACCGTCCACGACGGCCAATAAGAAGGACGCGCATAATAATAGTGACAGAGCGGGTAGATCACAGACGACCGCCGAAGTCGATAAGGGTGGTGGCAGAAGTAATAAAACACGGAAGCAAAAGAGAGGCAGTAGCGGTGAATTTGATACTAACAGTAACAAAGTGAGCAGAAGAACAGCGAAGCGGCAGGAGCAGAGGGGCAGCAGTAGTGAGTTTAAATCGAAAGTACCGCGGTATGACAATAATGTGGGCAGTGACAGCGAGAGTGAAGTAGAGAGACAGAAGAGGATGAGTGTACACAACGTGAAACACAGTAATGGTGCACCGAAGTTGGAGCAGAGGCGACCTGATGTTAAATAGTGAGTACAAATTAATTCAAATTCAAAATATCTTTATTCATGAAGGTCTATTACAGACTCTTATGATATGTCATGGAAAGATTCACAGGATGCCATTGGTGTCTTCTGTGATCTCTCAAAAGCGTTTGATTGCGTCGACCATAGGACTTTATTGCTTAAACTAGAACATTCCGGAATTAGAGAAAAGTCCTTAGAACTCATTGGATCATATCTGTGCGATAGAATTCAAGTAGTAGACATTAAAGGAAGTAAGTCCAAGGGGTCAATTATAAAAATGGGTGTACCCCAGGGTTCTATCCTCGGCCCATTTCTTTTTCTTGTTTACATAAACGGCTTACCATACTAGTTTCAAAACATACTTGACATTGTATTGTTTGCTGATGACACATCACTTATTTTCAAAGTGAAAAGAAATAATAAGGATTTTAGTAATATAAATAATGCTCTTGAAGATATTCTTAACTGGTTTACATCAAATAATCTAGCGCTTAATTCAATGAAAACAAAATGTGTTAAATTCTCTTTACCAAATGTAAAACAAGTAATGACAAATGTTAGTTTGAATGATCATGTTTTGGACTTTGTTGATGAGACTTCTTTTCTTGGTATTGTAATAGATAATAAATTGCAGTGGGGACCACATATATTCACACTGGCCAAAAGACTTAGCTCGGCTGCTTTTGCTATCAGAAAAATTAGACAGTTAACTAATACTGCAACAGCGAAGCTATATAGTATGGTATTATATTGTGGGGCAGGGCGGCTGATGTAGAATCAATTTTTATATTACAAAAAAACTATCCTAAATTTGTTCAATATATAATTAAATATTGTAATGTGTGAAAACTGTGAATCTGTAAATAATATAAATGACGCTTTAAAGAAACATGCTCGCTATAAAGTTCAAACTTGTGACGGCGTGGTGCCTCTCAATATATATATGAGTGCAATGATGGCTGGCTATCCGTCATACTCGTGTACGGGGCTGCTTTAAATGGTCTGTTATTTACACCGATTAGAATTTTTTTTATATAGCATATGCTTGGTCACTATTCTCCCAAATTTGAATTGAAAAAAAAATGAAATAGTGTTGTTGTAAATATACAACATTAAAAAAAAATATGCCTAGTTTGTCAGTTCTTCTCATCTCGAAATCATTCCGAACTGACGGTAGATTTGATATATCATAAGAGTCTGTAATAGACCTACATGAATAAAGACATTTTGAATTTGAATTTGAATTTGTCAAATCTACCATCAGTTCAGTATGATTTTGAGATGAGAAGAACTGACAAGAAACTCTGAAACATGTTTGAGCACCATGATGCTGGACTTGTTATGCTCCTGAGTAGACGCTACTTCTAAAGTTCTGCTAGTTAACAATAAAAATCTAAATATGAATTTGAATTCCTTAAATATAATATAAAATAAACGAAATATCTCCTTTGGAAAGTTTACACTCTATCCTGAGGAGATAAAAACCATCGCTCCTAAGAATGTCCTTCAATTCTCGTCTCTAACGGGTCTAGGTAGCGAACTCTGAAAAAGGGTGAGCACAATAGATGTATGTAGGTCGCAGTGCTACAGGTTTCAACTTTTGACAATAGCCCAAACTTCCCCAATAGAATAAATAGAATAAAAATTACAGATAATTTAGGAAACCGTTGGTGTTGTTGTAGCGGCGGTCCGCGCGAGTACTCGCCGCTGGAGGACCACGCCATAGTGGCGTGGATCAACAACGGAGCCCGAGCCAGGAGAGTCAACGGGAACCTGGTGTGGCGCGAGCTGGAGCCGGCCTACCCGCGCCTCACGGGCCTCGGTGAGTGTAACCCCCCGGGGCCGGCCCACGAAACCTTAACTTTGACTCTCCTCGGCTGATTTGCTGCAGAGTTTGCGACGCCAACTAACACGAGCTGTTTTTTGGTGCTGCATCACTAAACACAGAAGTGATCTCCTCAAAGCACTGCAGTAGGACGGACAGCGACAGCGACTTTGTTTAATACTATGTAATGATAATGAAGACATGCGTGGGGGTCATACGCAAGTTTAGCGATATCGAGTAATAATGATTCTAGCTTCATTTAATATTGTTAAAATATGAGATTTTTGTCCATTATGGACGTGCGCCCTGACAGCGTGTGGGTCGGTTTCAGAGCGGTCGTGGCACTCTCTCCGCAACCGCTACCTGCGGCACGTGCTGCCCGCGCTCCACACGCTGGCGCTGCCCCCGGACCAGGCCGCCAGGCTGCGGGCGGCCGCACACCACGGTACGTACACACACGCACACACACACACACACACACGCACGCACGCCGCCACTCGGGCCCTACCCACTAGCGGAACAACAACGTTTCTAGTATCTTCACCGCGCAGCAACTTTCTTACTTTTAAAAAACTCAGAGATTAACGAAGAAAGATTAATCCGTGAAAGTACTAGGAGAAAAGATCTGCAGTCCCAAATAATTCTTAAATTATTACATTTAAATAATAAGACAATATATTAAATATGGATTTCTCTCTTGTGCTCTTAAATATACAATAGTCAGTATTTTGGCGCCAAAGTTATTTCACTTTTTTAATATAAACTAAAGGCAACGGAAAAAAACCAAACAGTTATGTTTATATTATTACAATCAGGGGCGCACCGACCTAAGGGCTTTTTTCCCTGCAGTCCAGTGCCCCGAGGATACAAAGGGCCCCCAGTCCCCACTGAAACGATATTTAGAAAATAAAAAAATATCTAGAATGTTAAAAAACCTATCATAAGGTTGGCAACCCTGAGATCAATCAACCCATGCAGGTGCGCGTCTATCAAAAGAAACGGGGAATTTCTGGTCGCTTGTTTTTGGTCGGTGTATATATTTAGTTGAGTGATATAATAAAATAGGGCCCTAAGTATAATTTAGCCCGGGGCCCTAAAATTCATGATCCGCCTCTGATTACAATTAACAAATTGATAATAATTATAATAAATCCCACTTTGAATATTGTTCAAATTGGGATACTTAACGATTGGTGTCAATGAATGTGTATTATTTGGTGTGTGTGTGTGTGTGTGTACGTGCGCAAAGGCTCGCCGCAAAAAGTCGCGGCCGCATGCTGACTGTAACCAAGCGCGTATTTGTCGCGCGACACCAGCGCCTCGTCGCGCGACACTCCCCCGCCGTCGCGCGACAGACGCCCGCCGTCGCGCGACAATGCGGGCCATCGCGCGGACAACGGTACACTATACAATTATTTTTTCTCAATACTTAGCATTTCATTTCAAACAGTTATAATTAATACTAGCTCTTACCCGCGGCTTCGTTCGTATTGAATCCATCAAATAACTTACTGGCTGCTAGATGGCGTTGAAGTTGCAAAATATTGTTATATTATTGTTTGTTTTATATATGTCAGATTTTTTAAAAGTATGATCCTATATACATTCTAATATTTCTAATGACGTGTAGAAAAATTCATGATGATCGGTTTAGTAGTTTTTGCGTGAAAGCGTAAGAAACATCCCTACTTTCACATTTGTAATTAGTAAAGATTTGCTAGTATTTATACAATCTATACATATAAATAAAATTGGAGTGTCTGTTTGTAATATTGAAATAACCGTTTTATAAAAAAAGAATCGCTTATAAAAAAATACAGCACACAGGCGGGCGCACGCATACCGCCTCTTCACTTTCGGTCGCAGCGACAGACTACAGACATTCGAAAGGTTAAACATTATTGCATATAAATAGCTATAAAAAAATAATAATATACATATATATATATATATATATATAAACACCTCTTTGGGCACTTTGTTGATAAACGAAATGCCGATTCCTCCTTTTGCACTGGACTTGACTCCTATCGCGTATATTTCAGGCGGGGTGGCAACGTCGCATTCTATTTTGCGATGTGGCCATATATATTCGTCGATAGTACGATATACTCGACACATTTTTTACTAATAATTCGTGCATGACTGGCTCCGAACGGCTAAATTTTTGGTATACACAAAGACGGCTCTGAATATATTTCAAAAATCAATTAATTATGTTGATCACTTTATATACTCGTCCTTACTGCGATACTTATTTTCATGAATATATATAGGGCGTAACGGCTATCAATTATGAATTTATTAATTTACTAATGTAGATATTTTATCGCAGTGCTACAGGTTTCCACCTTTTGCAGGGGGGAGCCCAAACCGCACCCCGCGCACACAAACAAATTAGATATTTTTTGAATACACAAAGACTTTTTGGCTCCGATATATATATTTCAAAAATCAATTAATTGTGTTGACTTTATATACTGGTCCTTACTGCGATACTTATTTTAATCCGAATATATATAGATACCGTAACGGTCTATCAATTATGAATTTACTAATCGCGCAATGCTCCATACATGCAAGCTCCAGCAACGGTGGAGGCAGGGGGAGGACCACCCCGCGCACACAAACAAATTAGAATAAATTAAATTCATAAGATTATTTATGTATTTCGACTGTGTGGTCAACACATCCGATGGTCGCGGGTTCGAGCACGGGATGTACTCATCGGTCATCGATTGATTTCATCGGTCTGGGTGTTTTATATGTATATTATATATGTATTTACAAGATAAAAATATCTATTTATATCAGTTCAGTATCAGTCTGTGTTAATTGTCCGCGCTATTTATTATATTTTTATAAACGGTTATCTTTTTCCGCGCTCGCTATCGACAGTGAATTCATAGAAATGTCACTCTAAAAACAAAAATAGTTTTGTATTTCAAATACTAAATGCAAAATAGGTATTTTCAAAATACTTTTTCAAAATAAAGTACCTTTTGAATTTTTGTCCAAACCTCAGATATTTTATTTATTTTACATAGGTATATCAATCATTACATAGTGTAGTATAAAACAAAGTCGATGCGCATCTAACAGTACATAAATAAAGAAAGAAGACTTTTTGGCTCTGATACCGTAACGGTCTATCAATTATGAATTTATTATACCTAATCTAGATATTTTATATTCGCAATGCTACATACATTGTAATATCCGCCTCCATTCATTGTAACGGTGGAGGGACTAAATAGTTGAATAAAACTGAATAAGCAGTTGCTCCACTCTATAGGTATGCGTCGTCGTCGTATGCTGTTCATTTTTTCACTCGCCCTCATAGTCGTGGTCAAGTTAAGAACTTATAATTATTTTGATGACAATAGATACAAGTAAAAAGTAGGTATTATATTAATTTACGTACATTAAAAATATTTATTCTTTATTGTACATTTGAAAAACTTAACACTTAAGGACTTGTACATATACACGTACATACTGCCATTTTCTCTTAAAGACATCCAGAGAAGCACTATTTATCAAATACGCGGGGTGCCCGACCTTTGCTTATAACAGCTGATTCGCGCGTAACGAATTACATTGCTTACATTACTATTTTATAGTGGATATTTCAGCCTTTAGATTATGACATAATAGCATAGTTTATATGATTTTCACATACGATAAAAAAAATTCCCGTAAAATGTAAAAGATAAAAAATGGTTATTGTTGGTTATCCTTGAGAGGACATATACCATCACGGACTTTTTTGTTGACCTTATTTTGATACATCTCAAAGCACTAGACAATACGCATTTTCATTAAACAGTATTGTATTTTTTTTTATTTAACTTTAATGCACAAAAAAATTTGTACATGTGGCGGACTTAATATCTTGCCGTTATTTACCCGCGCAGCGAAAGATTATTGGCGGTGCACTAATATAAATAAGAAATGTCAAAAAAAGATATATAAATACAAAGCAAAATATACATTTCTATAAAAAAATAACAATATACATACATAAATATATAACCCATAAATGTATAAATAAATACATAATGACCCGATAATCAAATTATAAGTACAGTCTCAAATTGAAAGTAAGAAAAACGAAAATATAGAGAGAACGGATATAACAGAAAGATGTTAAAAAAGGAGAAGGACAGTAAAAAAGTTACAAATTTAAATAATATTCCCGCAATTTCTGTTTAAATGAATTTATTACATTATTATATATATTAGGCATACGACTAGCCTTATGACTGTTACTTTTTTATAATCCATCTATACATGTAAATAAAATTGGAGTGTCTGTTTGTAATATTGAAATAACCGTTTTTTACTACTTGCATATGAATGTAAAAACGGTACATACACCAAAATAACATATTTTACAAGTTTTGTCTGTCTGTCTGTCTGTTTGTTCCGGCTAATCTCTGAAATAGCTGGACCGATTTTGACGACTTTCGGTGGCAAGTACCCTGATGTAATAAGGGTAACTTACGCTACTGTTATTTTAGAAAAATAAAATAAAATTTCACGCGGACGTCCCGGCGAGGCTATAGATATACCGAGATTTAATATTTAAGTTGCTATTATGTTGTTGACAAAATTTTACTGTAATGTTACTATTACGTTATCCTACACAATTTGTATTATTTTGGATAAATAAATAAATAAATAAATAATAATCTATACATCTATACATATAAATAAAATTGGAGTGTCTGTTTGTAATATTGAAATAACCGTTTTTTACTACATGCATATGAATATATATAAGGTACATATACCAAAATAACAATTTTTATAATTTTAGTCTGTCTGTCTGTCGGTCTGTTTGTTCCGGCTAATCTCTGAAATGGCGACCGATTTTGACGGTACTTCTTTTTAGCGAGCTGATTTATGGAGCCTTAGGTTACTTTTATTTTAGAAAAATAAAGTTTAATTCCACGCGGACCTCACGGGCCTTGTTTTTAATCGGTGATGTTGAAGCCTGTTGTTTGTAATATTGAAATAACCGTTTTTTACTACTTGCATATGAATATAAATACGGTACATAATACACCATAATAACGACAATTTTTGTCCGTCTGTCTGTTTGCCGGCGATTTTGGCGACTTTTTTTGGCGAGCTGATGTAAGCCGGCCTACCTATATTTGCTGCAGAAAAATAAAGTTTGGACGAAGTCGCCAACTGTATAATATATAGAGCTGTTTTTTTATTGATGACTAGCTGCATCGTCCGTGTGGAATTTAACTTTATTTTTCTAAAATATAAGAAGTTAAATTCCACGCGGTACAGCTAGTTGTCCGATTTAGCTAGCACAGCTTTGATTCCTGCTTGGTGGTCGCGGGTTTGATTCCTCGCACGGTGCAAACATTTGTATTCGTGAGTGTGGTTGTTTCTATCGATCTGGGTGTTTTCTATGTATAATATGTATGTATTTACGAAAAAAATCTTTGTATTTATATCATAGTACCCATAACATAATCTTCAGCTAGCTTAACTTGGGTCTAGATGAAGCTGGTGGTCTGAGATTACTATTATTATTAATTGGCAAGTTTAACGATATTGGTGTTGTTTGTTATGGTGAAAAAACTAGTATATATATAAGTAACACGTACAATTTCAAAGACTTATTTCTTCAAAACTACTGGCTATTCTGAAATAAATAATATAATAATAATGTTTGCATATAAAATATGATTAAAGGTTACCAGTGTATTTACACTTTTACTGAACAAGCAGAGTTGTTTAATAGTGAAAATATTGTGTGGAAGACATCAATTACTTTCAGTACATGTATAGCTTTTCTCTTTTTCTAATTATTATTATTATTAAGTTTAAAGTGGTTGAATTTTACGTGTATTTATACATTATTTCTAATTTACCGTTTTTTAAACTCTATTCATCGAGACCTATCGAGTCCGGAAACACGATATTTCTGCTGTAAGTTTTCGAAGAGTATGTTCATCATCTGATAATACTGGTGCCAGCATGAAGTCACAGATAACTAATTACTTTTATTTCGTCAAAATCTTTAGATTACGTATAATAAATTCATAATATCGCTACACACACACATGTACACACGCACACACACATGATACATACGCAAAAAATCTTTGTGCATTTAAAAAAAATTGCCGATACGGATTCACTAGCGGAATTGTTGAAAAAAT